GATTTTTTTTTCTTTTTATGTAGGAAAACGGTTCTGACTTGGATACCAGAATTCCAATATTTCAAAGTTTCGTTACGTTATGAAACTTTGAAACTTGAAACTTTTTAAAAAAAAAACGTTCTTTAAATAACGTTTTTTTTTCTTTTTTTTTAGGAAAATGGTTCTGATTTGGATACCAGAATTCCAATATTTCGAAGTAACTGTAACTTCGAAATTTAAAAAAAAAATGTTTTTTTTAACATTTTTTCTTCTTTTTTTGTAGGGAAACCAGTTCTGAAGTTAGATACCAGATCCTATGAGATAAGTTTTGATTTCAAAACTTTAATAAAAAACATTTATTTTAATGTTTTTTATTATTCTATTATAGGAAATCGGTTCTGAAGTTGGATACCGAATCCCATCAAATGTTCTATCAGAATTGTTCGATTCTGTGATTTCTGTCATTCCAACACTAATCGGATAGATCATATGATCTGATAAGTTTGATGAATAATAGATTATCAGATCATCTTTTTTTTATAAAAAAAAAATTTTTTTTAAAAAAAAATTTATTTTATTCTTCATAGTAACCTTCTGGACACAGAACTGATGGGATGTCCTCAGAAGGTATTGAAGAAATTTTTTTTTAATCTTGAAACGTTAGTAAACATTACTAATATTCTATTTTCAATTATAGAACCCTTATGACACCTCAGAACTGGTGAAATGCTCTGGAATGTATTTAAAAAGGTGAGAAGCACTGGTAAAAAAATGGTCTATCCTACACATATCCTACACATATCTTACATATATCAGGTACTCAAAATGTAGAAAATTATACACAAATAATACACATATCATACATATATCGGGTATTTATATATATAGTATACCTATCAGGTACCTGATATATGTATGATATATATATTAGTACCCGATATGTGTATGATATGTGTATTATTTGTGTATGATTTTTTACATTTTTAGTACCCAATATGTGTAAGATATGTGTAGGATAAATCATTTTTTTACCAGTGAAGAGAATGTTTTTAAATTGAGAACATTAGAAATATTAATAACGTCCTATTTTTAATATTTTTTTTTATTATAGAACCCTTTAGATATCCCAGAACCGACAAAACACTCCGGAAGGTATTTAAAAAGGTGGGGGAAATGTTTTTAAATTGGGGATCATAGGGACCCATCAAAAACTTTCTCAGAGTGGCATTCCCAAGAGTGTGTCGGCTTTATGTCATTGGCAATGATCTGAACCCCAGAATTGAAAAACTTATCGAGGGTCGAAATGGGTAAGGTAATCTTGATTATGAGTTGTTTAGAATTGTTTCAGGGGATTCATTTTTTTTTTGATGTTTTAAAAACATTGAAACATTTTTAAACTTTTTTTTTATTTTCTTATAGGAATTGCTGGACGAAAGTTACGAACCGGACTTTTGAGAAGGTAAATAGGGTGAAATTTTGGTTTTTTGTTGTATTTTTTAGAAACGTTTTTAACGTTTCTTTTTTCAACTTTTTTTTATTTGTAAAAATTGCCAGATGAAAGTTACGAACCGGACTTTGGATAATAAGGTAAATAGAGGAAGGACTTTCATTTATTTTTTGTATTTTAGAAACGTTTTTAACATTTCTTTCTTTTGTAAGAACTTTTCAGATCCTTCCTTTGGATTTGTATCGGTAAGTTTTGAAAAGTTTCATTTTGAAACTTTTTTTACTTTTATTTAATAATTAAAAAAATATTTATTTTTTTCTTTTTTTTTATTTTTTAGGTTACTATCAGCACTTGGATTTGGATCAGTAATGGTAAATTTCGAAAAGTTTCATTTCAAAACTTTTACTTTTATTTAATACTTAAAAAGATATTTGATTTTTTTTCTTTATTTTTTAAGTTACTATCAGCTCCGATCTTAGACTTGGATTTGGATTGGTAAAGTTTTAAAAGAATATGATAATATTAGTAAATATATATAGAATTATTAAATAATGTAAATAATTTAGTAATTAGTATTTCTGATTTTTGTAATTTTAATGTAAATTTTAAATAATTTTAAATAAAAATAATAAAAATGCATTATTATAAATTAATCGAAAAGTAACAATCAGTACACTAACATTTAATCAAAAAGTTATCAATCGGTATACTGATATGTCAAATAGTAAATATTCTATTAGTAACTATTAATACCCGATTGTACTCTAATGAATATTCCGATTGGTACCCGAGTATCCTCCTTTTGCACCATCTTTTGGCAGCAATCAGGTTTACCGATTGATGAAAATTTTAAAAAAAATAGGGACCAATCGGATGGAATTCAGTCACCTGATTGGTCCCTGATTTGACATCATTTGACTAGTGAATCTAATGTTAAAAAGTTTGCAATTATCCCTTAAACAGTAAAACATTGCAGGCAAATTTGCTTGCAATTATACCAAAAATTCAGTTTTCATCTAATTTTATGAAAAATGAAGTTATTTTAATAAAAATTTTTTCACAAAGAGTTTAAATTATAATTTATGTGACAATAATCATTATTTATTAATTACATATTACACAGGTCAAAAAGTGAAAAATCAGGTACCAGGACCCCGGATATCTCCAAAACAGGTCATAAGTCACACTTTCGGCAGATTGGCCCATTTTTCAGGGCTCAAAAAATCGTTTTTTGTAAATATCTCAGCATCCAGTAATCCAATTTTGATGAACTTTTTTTTAAATTGTAGAGCTAAATGAGGGTTACAAAATAAAAAACAGTTCATTAAAATTGAATTACTGGATGCTGAGATATTTACAAAAAACGATTTTTTGAGTTTCAGCAAAAAGGGGTATTTTTGGTCAAAAGTCCATTATGACCTTTATATTAGATATCCGGGGTCCTCAGGTACCAATCAGTCACCAATCAGATACCTGATTGGTGACCGATTGGTGACTGATTGATGCCTGATTTTTCACTTTTCGACCTGTGTTATAAGATTAAAAATTGACCATTGGTCAAAAATTGTATTTTTTAAATAACAAAAAATTTTGAAAAATTTTGCATTTAACTTTAATGATCTCATTGGGATTTGATTGCAGCTATATTAAAGCTTAATAGAATATGTAGAATTTTCTATGAAGAATAACATTTGTTATGATGATTTTTAATGTTTAGAAGTGGCATTTTGACTTTACATAAAATCCTAAAAAAAGAATTATTTTTATGAATTTGTAAAAAATGCATAAAGTTAAATTTTATTATCTTTATTTTGTTCATTAGAGTATACTTTTTGTCAAAATGACAAAATACTAATTAAATTTATTTTGACAGATGTAATGTATTTTGACAGACGTAATTAATTTATAGTAATTTTATAATAAATAGTGAATTGGTCCGTTCGCTGAAATACGACGTAATTAATTAGTAGAGAAGTATACATTAGAGTGTAAAGTTTCATAATAAAAATAAAAAATATATTAAAATGCTTTGTAATAAAGCAGAATGTTATGGTAAAGAAAATTAATTTATTATATAAAAATTCTGATGTTATTTTTTTGAGGTTAATTTGTGACTAATTTTGGTGATTAGCGATCATTAATCACATATCAAAACCATACAATTAATGCTAAAAATGTAGATCAATATAGCTGCAGAATTATAGGATAATTCAAATCATATTGACAAATTTTATATTTGGATATAAATTTATTTTAAAAAATTGCAGGCAAATTTGCCGGCAAAACTGTTTAAAGGATAATAATATTATACTATAATATAATATAGAAATTCTATTCAAGTTTGGAAATAAAAATAATAAAAAATAATAGTGAAAATACTTTAAAAGTAATATTCATTAAATGTTTAATATAAGTAGTATTTTAAAAGTAGTAGTATAGTGTTAATAAAAGAAGAAAATATAAGAAATTAACTTAATCAAGTATATAATAAAAATAATATATAAAATAATTTGTTTATATTAAATTTCTAATATTATTACAGTTTAACCTCGATATACCGATATTCGATATACCGATATACTATTAAAAACTTGATATACCGATAAAATTTTATTTTCCCACTATATGTGAGGACATATAAATATCGGTATAACTTTGATATAACGATATTTTCTAAAAATTTCATATATGTCCCGACATATCATTATATAAAGGTTTGAATAAACTAAACTATTTGTTTATTTATATAATATATATAAATAATTGTTAAATTTTCTTTTTAAAATTTCTTTAATTAATACAGTTATATGAATATTAAATGCTTGTTATTATATATAATTTTGAGTAATTAAGTGAAATAGAAAGTTTTTTACTTTTATCTAGGTAACATATATTTTAAATATAAATATTTTTTATAGGAAATAAGTAAATATTTGTTATTATTAGTAATATAATAATAAAAAAGCAAATAGCTAAGCCATATTCTTCTATATAAAATATTAATTTTCTCAAATGCATAAATCTTTTATTATAATTTTATAATTATTATTTGAGATTATTGAAAACATTTAACATTTAAGAACTTTATACAGTATTATTCAAATTATTAGTGGAAAAAATATATATAAAATCATATAAAATCAGCATTATCTATTTATAAAAATTCCTTTTACCGAGATTCAAGCTGAATTTATTAATCTTTTGACAATTGTACTTCTGTAATTAAACTAATAATTTTAATTAACTTTTAAAGGAATTATGTAAATCTTATATTAATGGCAGAATGATTGAATTTTTCATCCGGTAAGATGAAAATTCAATCCGGTTTTAATTTCTTTTTTTTTTTATATTAGAAAAAAATTTAAAATTTACTAGATTTAGGTGTTTCAAAAATTGCATGTATAGTTTGCAACTCTAGAAGCAGGCGCAAAATGAAAACATGCAGATATTTTATTTGTTTACTTACTTTCTCACTTCCTGAATTTTACAAAGTTAACTCGCTATAACTGATTATTTTATACATAGTAGTAATTAACTACAGTCGGCTATTTATGTATACAGTATAATGATCAATTCAATCCACCCGATTCGAGAGTCTTTTTAGGACGAATAATTTATAAAAAGTAATAATTCATTTTTTAGTATTATTAATGTTGATATACAATGTTATACATATAATCATGATACAATAATTTGTATTGAAACGACTTTAATACAAGTAAAAATAAACACAAATATTCCACTAAATAAATATCTTCATAATCATACATACATATTACAAATATCTAACTTCATCGATACCTAGACTTCTTCTAACTTGTACTATTGCCACTAATTCTTTAATAGCTTCCTCTAAAATAACAACATTATTTAGGAGTGTGCTTAATGTGATCTCTTTAGGTTTGGTTTCTTTCGTTTTAGTTCTAGTCTGTTTCCTTGATGCAAGTCCATCTTCATCATCTTCATCCCCGTAATCAATAGGATCTTCTTCTTCTTCTTCATTTACAAAATGTGTGGGAAATAGTGGTTGAATTTTGATACTTTCAGTCTTCGCGAAATGTGTTGAAAGGGGTGTACTGATATTTGAAGATGATGCGGGTGATGACTTAGAGAAAGAAGATAAAGGTGAATTAATTGACGATTCTGTTCGTGATAATGAATTAGTCCTTCTAGGAGGGTGGTTAGCTGAAGAAGAAGAATGAGCAGTGTTTCTACGGGTCCTTGATGAGCTAGATGAATTAACAGAAGTTGATGAACTATTTTTTTTAGTAGGAGTACGAGGAGGGAATGTAGGTTGCTGTTTAAAGAAATTTTCGTCAATCTCATCATCTGCGTCTAGTAAACCATTCCTTCTATCTTCAAGAAATTGATTAAATCCATCAATTTCACTTCGATAATAATCAACTTGTTGCGTTAGAGTTTTAAAAATAGTGAAGAATGGTGGGAAATTTGTCCACATTGGCGTAGCACCAATTGCCTTTGCGGCCGATGGACTTTTATCGGCATTATAATCAACAGAACGATCATCATCTTCGTCAAAGTCATCTATAACTTTATCATCACCATTGGAAGTAGAAATACCTTCTTGGTTATTGATGCCCAATGATGGTTCTAAATTTTTCGGTTCATGTTGAAGTCTCTCAAAATCTTTCGTAGAAGAATCACGTCGATTGTCTAATCTATCAACACCACTAAATACGAGCCAACCTTCTAATGATCTATAGGGACAAACAGATAAAGCAGACAATACACCAGTCAAGGTTAAATTTAACTCGGGCGAGTGTGCAAAGAAATTAGAAAGAGTGCCAACGAGAATTTGTAAAAGTGAATCTCCCGGGTTAGTAGGAACCAAACGATGCTTGGGTACTTTAGACATGCATTTGAATGCACTTTCCGCTCCTTTTCCAGGGTTATAAGTTAATAATTTTTGTCTATTCGATTTGTTGGATTTTGGTCTGATAGGACCGTCTTCCGTCCACTCCACATCCTGACCATTAATATAACATCTATCTGCCTCTATAATCATTTCGGCATCACGAACATAAGAATCGTAACCATTAGTGAAGATTTCCATGTTCTGGGTTGGATCAATAGCAGAAATTAAGTCAAAGAAGAGGTCCAATTCTCTCAAATGATGACTAATCGTTGTGAGCTTTGGTTGGCCAGAACTGGTAGGACCGGGTTGTTCAACATTAAATGAACTTTCCAACAAATAATTCGGTCTAGGAAAACACGTGGCATTCTCATCTAATTCAATATTCAGTAATTTCAAGGAATACCTACAGTGTTTAGAAATAACTGTATGAAGAAGCTTTAGAGTGGCAATAACAGCTTGCTGTGAAGAAGAACGAAGGCGCGAGAAAATAAGATCTTTGAGAGTAAATCGACCCGTAGAAATAAAATAAGGAGATGATTTTATTTGATTATTTTCAATGCCTTCAAAAAGATTAATTGTACTTTGTCGTTTTGCTATTTTGCTTGTTGTGGTAGTTTGTTTCCAAAAATCTTCATCATCCCCATCAGAGTCCATTAAAAATCCTACTACAACGTCAACCAATTCTTCTTGATTCAAAGTTTGCATGATAATATCAATATAAGAAATAACAGCGACGGCTGAACCGTCGGTATCAGAACATTCTAGAATTGATGGATATAAAATGCTCTCAAGGAAATGTGTTTTTACGTTTTTAAGTAACGCTATAGAAATTTCTACGTTAGGACATATATTTAAAACGTCCTGACAAAATTCCAACAACTTTAAGAATGAATCTAATTGACTTTTGAAAACAGGCGATGAAGAAACCTCTATACCCCCAGAACGCAATCGGTCTAACTCGGCAAAAGTATTATCTCCAAACCCTAATAAAGTGGCGTTTGTCAAACCACCACTTGAACTTTTCACCATCAGTTTTCGAGGTAATTGAGAATAAAGAGCACCCAATCCCGCAGCCATAATCGTAGCGAAATCGCTTTCAAGGATAAAATCTCCTAGTGGGCCCTTAGCAAGTTCTATAATGAAAAGTAGACCATATCTGGCGTACTCACCGCTCTTACCTTCTCTATGAAGAAATTGTAATAAATATGTAAAAAGTAAAAATTCATATTCCGGTTTTTCTTGTTCTTCAGTAAACTCAGTAGTTTTTGTAGCCGATGTATTTATGTTAGTTGATATTGAAGCACCATCATCAAAATTCCCATCCTGACTACTATTTGATGAAAAACTTGCTTGACCAGCTTCTTTTTTTATATAGGCCTTTTGAGGCGTAGTAAGCCAATGGGTATCGTGGAAAAAAATATTCAAAAGGTCAGGAAATGCATGAATTTTAGAGCAAATAATATACATCAGGTCTACCAAATCTTCATCGTATCTTTCACCTTCATCGTGAACACATGTTCGCAAAAGTTGTACGGTAGGTTGGTGAACTGCATTATGGACCAAAAATCGATCATCCAACAAATTTATCATTTGAGCCACAGTTCGAATAATTTCACCACGAATACCCTTCGGAACATCGGGTTTAGCAAGTGCGACTAATTCTTTAAGAATGTTGTTTCTTAAGAATTCTTCCATGCAAAGACCCGTATTTACATCTTCAAGCATTAAACCTTCGTCAGCAAGGAGGTCAACCATAGTCTTGAGATGTTGCGAAATTTCGGTTTGGTCGACGTGGCTTGCGATGGGCTTTTTATCGTCATTATTGAAATGATTCTGAATTTTACATCAACAGGCGCGATTTAAAGCCTTTACGTAGTGAGTTATCTTTTTCAACTAGTTCCAAGAAAAGTTAAAGTAGTTATCCGCTTTAACAAGGAAAAAGGGAGGTTCATCAGTGAAAGTTGAATCACCTCCACTCACCTCGATATGAATCCAAGCTTTACGAAATTTTGCAAGCTGTTCGGCATGTGTAGGTTGCGTTTTTTGAGGCGTTATTCTACTCTTTAAATTTTTAAAATAATCCATGTTCGTGTCTATACTGGCAAAGGAACGTCAGTTACAAATTATCATAAACTTGAAGAAAAGCTGTTGTTGTTTTGCTAGTCACGTTACTGTGTGGAATGTGATCTTTGATAGATATAGATGTATAGTTCTATAGGTTTTGTGTTCCGAAAAAAAATTTATGATAGTGCAATGAATAAGTATTGATAATTTACACGTATGTATTAATATATTATTTGCTACTTACTTATTAAATATTATAAAATATATCTGATATATTCAACCAAATTTGAAATAAGAATTTTATAAAATACAAATACCATAAAAGTAAAAAAACCAATTAGATAAATTTAAAGTAGGGCCATTTAAAAATATAATATATATTTTTTCTATCACTGGTCACCGGTGACTGAAATTATGACGATCGACCAGCATTAAAAAAATATAGTGCCGGTAAAAATTGATAATTCTGGCCAACGGTGATGATTACCCCCGGTGATTTGAAGTAAAAAACAAAATTTATATTGGAAGATAATTTTACATTTACTGAAAGTTAACTTAAAATTAATTTATAAAAGGTAAATTTTACTTTAATTTATATAAATTTTTATTAAAATATAAAATTTTGATAAAATTTAATAAAGGTAAATTTCATTTTGATTTACATTTAATACATTAAATTTTCCAATATTTTATGGTAAAATTCATCAAAAGTAATTTTACCTTAATTTACATAATATATAAATTAATTTTTAAACATAATGTTATATTAAAGATTATAAAAGTTTTATTTTTTAATTTTTTTTTAATATAATAAAAAGGCAATTTCTATTTGTACACAGGATGTTTAAACACGGGTCATATTAGTAGATTAAAAACGGCATTCAAAACCTCCTTTAATGCCTTAAGTAAACTTGCAGAGCAGGTGAAAATACATATATTTATCTGTAATATAATAAGAATAAAAAGTAAAAGAGTATAATGTCNTAATAAGAATAAAAAGTAAAAGAGTATAATGTCAGTAGCATTCAATTTCAAATTAAAAAACAAAAAATTAGTCTATTAAAAATTATATTTATATGATCTGTGTACAAACACCCCATGTAAACTTAGAAATTTTCTAATAAAAATTACTTCAAATGAATTTTACTTGAAATAATTTTTATCCTAGTGAATTTTACTTCTAATAAATATTAAAATCATTTTATTCTTAAATATTTTTATTTAATAAAAAGGATTTTATTTTTTATTATACCTGTAATATATTATATTAAAATCCTAAATAATATTAAAATAACTTAGAAAAAACTCTTTCTAGTTGATCTCATACCCACATTTTGAACATTTAGAAAATTTTACAAAGTGACTTTTTATTACTGAAACTACTTAAGAAATACATATTTTTGCTTGCCAAAATAGAACTTTTAACCTGCTATTCATAATATTCATAAAAAATGCTAATATATTTATAAAGGGCTTAAAATTTAAAATGTAGATTAGTTACTTTAGTAACGATTAATTTATACAATATGAATAAAAATGTTTGAAACAAATTTAAAATAAAAAAAAGTAAAAAAAAAAGTTTTTTAAACAATAAAAAAATATTCAATAATAAAAAAAAGAAAAAGTAACTTTTATTTTTAAGAAAAATAAATTAAATTAAAATAATTACCTTAATTTTCAAAAGTTGAATTAATTGAATTAAATAATATAATTATTAAAATTAGATAATAGAAACTATTAAAATGTTTGAAGTGTAAAAAATATATATGTTTAATAGTTAGTAGAATTGTTTTATAATTTTACCAATTTGATATTTAGCATTTTGTATTTTATAATTTTAATATATCAAAGTAATGATTATACTAAATTTATATAAATTTGTATAATTGGTTTATTTTAGTTTAATTAATTTTATTTATTTTATTTAGTTGTTAAATAATTTTCATTATAAAAAAAAACTTTTTATTATACACATCTTATTTATTAGTTTAATTATGATAGTTTTAATATCTAAAATTTAGAAAAAATGCTTTTTAACTTTTCTTATAAAAGTATTTTTATAATATTTAAGAAATGAAAAATTTTTTTTTGTTCTCTTGTTGTATTTAACCCTGCCTTGTTAATTAAAAAAGAAATCCAATAGTATGATATGTAAAAGATAAGTTTATTTATAAAGTAAAAGACCAGTTCTTTATTTATTAGGAATTAAGTTGAGATTCTAAAATTCAATAAACATCTACAACATTTTCTTCTACATCAAATGATGCACTACAAAAAGATCTTTAACAAAGAATTAAAAAAGGCTTGTTTAATTAAATTTCCGGTGTTAAATTTCCGGATCTAACATCACGTTAATATATGAGTATATATCTACACGTGCAATAATCAATGCAAGTGCACGTGATTTGTATTTCTTATATATTAGCATTTTGAGGTTCAGAATTCATCTCAACTTGAATTTTGTTCGAAATTTCAATGCAAGACTTTTTTTCATTTGACGCCCTGATACTTGATTTACAGTTTCATTACGCGAAAAAAAACGTGTTTTTTGTTTCTACTATAAATATTTGAAGGTTAGTTTTTTAAAAAAAGAATAAAATGGTTGAATGTAGAAGTATGAAAACTATAGAATATAATAATACCAGAGATACATATAAGTTTTTTCTCATAATTTATTGTAACAAAGCATTTATTATATTTTTGAAGCTTCTTGAATTAAAATAAAGTTTTGAACGCGTAGCAATGGGCAAAGTAAAGGTACTTCGCACACAATATAACACTCGATCTGCAAGAAGAACAATACCTACACCTGAATCTTCCAGTCAACCCGATACGCCAGAAGATGCTTCCCAGATTATTCAACAAACCGTCTCTAGTGATTCAACAATACCTACACCCGAATCGTCAGCACAAGTAAACTTGACAAGAGAAACTATACAAGCCGTAAGCAATGTTATAAATACAACCATTTCAACAGCTATTTCAGAACGGATATGTGGCAATCCTAATTGCCAGACGAGGGAACCTTCAGCTTGGAGAAGAGATCTTGCCGGCACTGGCTGGCTTTGTAACGCATGTGGTTTATTGTATGTAGAAATATATATATCATTCTACGTTTTTTTAGTGTACGAATAATAACTTCTTATTTTATAGCATACGAGCTCGAGGTTTTCATCGACCTAAAGATGTTTGTTTAGCTTCAGCAGCAAAGGTACATTAAAGTTTCAATAATATATATTGTTTGACCTAAAAGCCTTTAATTTTAATCATACCATATGATGCTTAGTTACAGGCAATGTATAGCAATTCGCAATCTATCAAACTGCAGAAGAGTGTAAAACAACGTAGGGTGAGCATTAACATAATAATGATTATAACAAAATTTATAATTTGATATATAAGATCACATGTTTATCCCACTTTATTTTGTTGATTCAGTCTCAAAATAATTGTGATGGTCCCGATAATGACTATGGGACACAACCATCAACAACCGCACAGACAACAGAACTTTCTCTCGTTGATGAAGATGTCATGATGTCAGAAGCATCAACACCAGAACCTATGAACGATGCAAGCAGCATAAAAAATGAAAAACGGCCATGGGAAAAGAAAATATACTTAAATTGCGGCTTATATTCTGTTGATCTTAAATACAAAGATATACCAAAAAGGCGTAATAAAGGCAAGCAAAAGGAAAGGCCGACTGAAATTTTTCCCCTTCCAATACAGTACGGCACATTTCTTATGACAGAAGAAAGAAATTTCCGCTTGCCTTGGGATGTAATGATCGCTCATAAACAGGGAATATTAAAAAGACGCCCCGCACCATATAAGAAAATCCCTTGCAGTAAGTTGTTATAATCATCTTATGACCATTTTAACTTTAATGACAAATTTACGACTCTAAATACCTTTTAATAGATATATTCATTGAGCGTAGACGTAAGCATGAAAAGCCAGTAGTTTGTCAATGCATTTTACCCAGTGATGGGGGTACTGGATGCACAGAAGAGTGCTATAATCGGTATTTACCAAATTTCTTAATTCGGTCTCATAAAAATGTTATTTATTCGTAAATTCTCATTTTTTATAGGGTAATGTTCTACGAATGCTCTCCTAAAGATTGTCCGTGCAAAGACAAATGTTCCAATCAACGGTTCCAAAAGAAGGAGCGTGTAAAGGAACTTGAGGTGATTGAGGTAATTAGCATTCCAGTGCCAATATATGAATGATAAACTATATTGATATAATACATAAATCTTAGACTCCGAACAAGGGATTTGGTCTTCGCACGAAAGTGCCAATCAAAAAAGGTCAACTAATAATAGAATATCGTGGTGAAGTAATTTCACACGAGACAGCAATGCAACGAATGGAAACGCTATACAAAAATAGAAGACACTCGTACTTTTTGGATTACGAAAAGGGCGAAGTTCTTGATGGAGGTTCACGTGGCACAGAGGCTAGGTTTATCAATCATAGGTATATAATCAGATTTTTTTTTTGTTTATTTTGTTAATAAATTAACAAAATAAATCACTTATTAACGCTTTTTTATTTGTAAATTCTAAGCTGTGCACCGAACTGTCATATCGAGAAATGGTATTAATTTGTTTCTTTATCCTGATCGTTAGAAGTTGGCAATTTTTTATTGTAACATTAATATAATTATTTATAAATAGGCGAGCTCCACAGGGCGAACTTTTTGTTGGCGTATTCGCGTCAAAAAATATAGTGGCGAGAACTGAGTTGACGTACGACTACAACTTCTCGAAGTTCGGTGGTGCCGAAGAGCAGTTATGTTACTGCGGAACACCTACATGTCGCGGTTTAATGGGCTCAAAACGGGGCCAAAAGGAGTCCATCAAATCCATAAAGAAGAAAGTGAAAGTCAGTGACGATTAATCCACTATTGTTTCGTTTATATTTAAATCTTTAATTTTTTTTCCTATTTTTCCTATTTTACAGGGTGCTCCCGCAATCACGGCATGTACGCCGCTCTCGCCGAAAGAGCAACTGGTCGAAACATCGGCCCAAGAGGAATCGATCGCAGGACTTTTATCCGATGGGTCACTTTCATCGGTTGATTCATCGTTGGCCGCGACACCTACTGAGTCGTCACCTTCCATATCTTCGTCCACCGCAAGCAATCCGTTATTGCTTGCGGTGGATATGCTTGAAGTGGATATGCTTGATGACCTAATGGAATTGTAGGGCCAGGTCACAAGACCGCTTTAAAAAATAAATAATAAATAAAAATTTAAAAATTCATAAAAAACGAAAAAAAATTAGTACAAGGACTATGGTAGAAGATGGGATATCAGCATATTCTGTATTATTATCTTTTGGATTAAATATTTCAAAATTCCTATAATCTCCCCCAATATCACCGTCACTTTTTCCACCCCTGTGTTTTTATTACACTGATTGGTCCAAATTAATAATCAGCCACATTTAATTTTCATTTTTTCGCATCTTTAAAATTAATAAACATAAAGAAAGTAAAGAAAGTAAAATTTTCATATTTTAAAATATTTATTTTTCATACCTTTAGAATATAAAAATGTTTGTTTTTATACTTTTATAATTTTGAATATATTTTGGATTGTTTATTTATAATTTGCTAATAAACAAATAATTTAAAATATAATTATTAAAAACAAAGTGAAAAGTTTATTTGATTTTAATATTGTTTATTGTATTACGCATTATAAAGTAAATAAACAAGTCGTTTTTTTTTTTACTAGATATTAATATAATTATCTTAATATTGCTATCAAAAATAACTATAATGTCAATAAATTAGATACATAAAAGCTTTATACCTGCTAAGTAACTTGGTTTTCATTTAGTTTTTAAGTTTCCAAAAGCAGTTTAAATCTTCATACAAAAAAAATGATAATTAAATGTGACAATATATAAGGTGAAAAAGTATTAAGAAAGATAAACCACATAATTTTAAGTAAAAGTATTTTTTTTTTTATTCTATTCTAAATAAAAAATTTGTAAAACAAATTGGAAATTACTTATGGTTAAAATTTACAAGTAAAATCTCAAAAAAAACTATAATTATAGATTAATAAAATAATGTTGGTTTTATTAATTACTAATAATTTAATAATTTGTATTATCAAAATATTCAAAATATTTTTATAAAAAAGTATAATATTAAATTTAAAAGTATATATTAGTTAAAACTTAGATATACAGTTAACTTTGGTTATAATGAATCTGTTTGTATTAAAATCTTGTTATACCAAATCATAATTTTCAGAACTGATTTTTTATAAATAATTTTACTAGATATAATGAACTTTTATAATAAAACACTATATAATATATCCAAATTGAACTTAATTAATTGAAAATTTCAAAGTTTACACAGGATGTTTGAACATGGATCATGTGAAATATAATGATACCAATGTCACACCCTTTTACTTTTTCTATGTAATATGTGTATTTTTAACTGCTCTGAGGTTTTGAATGCCATTTTTGACTTATATATGAAAAACTGTCTTTGCCGATCATTTCCCAAATTTTTTTAAGAGTGATCAGTAAATCAATTATTCATAAGTAAAGTCAAAACTGATATGCAAAGCATCTTTGATATCTTATGTAAACTTGTAGAGCAGGTAAAAATCTATTTATCTACTAATTTTGAAGTTTATACTATTAGTCAAAGTGGCAATAATCACATGACTCAAGTTTAAACATCTCATGTACAAATAGAAATTATCATATTAATTATATTATAACTTTATACTTTCTATAATAAATGGTCATGTAACTATATAGTAGTTTAGGTTAATTTTTATAGTACTGGTGGTTTGCCAGAATTACAAGTAATTTTTTTAATTTATGTTAAATAAAATTATAATTTTATCTAGCATTACAAATTTAGCTTAAATTACCTATAAAGAAAATTAGTTTGATATATTATCTAATGAATTTACTATATACTGAATTTTTTTTTTTTTTTTAAATGTTGAATATTAAAATATATTTGGATTACATAATAATCACAAATATTCTATAAATGATACTTTCAGCTCCAGGCCAGTCTGATCAAACATTAGATATTATATTACCAATAGAATTAAGAATAAAAGTAATCAAAAAGCAAACCAAAATAACATATTATAAACTATAAACATAAAAATTAAAATAAAAACAAAACAAAAACCAATATAAAAATAAAAACAAAAACAAAAATAAAAATAAAAATATTAATAAAATAAAATTAATAATAAAATATATGTCTAAAATTATAAATATAATTGAGAACAGAATAAAAATATTATTTTAGAACTATTAATCCAGTAATTTCTTGCTCATGTATAATGTAACCTTATCAACTTTCTTTTTTATTGGAATCCAATCCTCACATATGTATTTCCTTACAAAGGTATCCATTGATTTCTTTACTAAGGAGACTGACCTCTGTAATCAATCTATTTTTCCTGTTTGTAGATCTTTAACTTTATTTGAAAGTTTATTTGCATTGTCCTTTACTTTGAATTCTGAAGGTTGATTTGAATTGTCCTTTTCCTTGGATTCTGAAGTAATTTTATCTGTTTTAGAAATGCCTCTTCTTTTTTCCCATAAAATAACTTGTTTACATCTTGGTTTCCATATTAATTCTTTAAATGCTAAAATAAATCTAATTACAATATTAGCCATAAGTGTCTATGCCTCAGTAAAAGATATCTTAAAGTCTTTTGTAATTTTGTTGTTAAAAAGGTTTTGACTTTCATTTCCAATGCCAGCTGTTGAAACTTTTGAAATTTTTCTGATTTTGCTATAATTCCTAGTATGTTTTATAATACTTTTCTAATAAAATCTTCACCTTGACCTCTGTTTTAAACATATAATTATAGATTCACTATATACCAAATTAAACCTCCTGGAATAGAGAATTTATTATATTTAAAGTTAACTGTATAAAGTAAATTTATTTGATTAATTTATAAAATATAATTAAATTACTTATTAATAATTTTTTTAAAAAAAATAAATTTATAAAAACCAAATAAAATAATAAATATTTTGATGATTGTATTTTTCTGAATGGATATAGCTTATGATAATTTGTTTATATGGTATATAAACTATATATCAATAAAGCATATATAAATCATTAAGGGGAGTATAGTCACGTGATTTATAATAAGACTATCAATGGCATAAAAATTTAAAATATGAAGCTAAGAACAAAAGTACTTTAGTTTGAATAATTATGTATTATTTTATTATTATTTTTGTAAAGACATGTGAAAACATACCTATAGAATACAAATATATNCGTGTAGTCACGTGATTTATAATAAGACTATCAATGGCGCAAAAATTTAAAATATGAAGCCCAAGAACAAAAGTACTTTAGTTTGAATAATTATGTATTATTTTATTATTATTTTTGTAAAGACATGTGAAAACATACCTATAGAATACAAATATATTAAATTAATTAATGATAAAATGCTTTTTGTTAAAAAAATAATATTATGTTTTCTAGTAGAGAGATTCTAAACTTTCACTAAGCGATTCGCAACCTTTTTGGAACTTCTTTTGATATTTTCTCCAAAATATAATATTTAAATCTAAATAAAAACTATATCTGGTGAACTTTCAGATTCTAAAAGGTAAGAAAATAATATATTTTTTTTAATATTTAGTAATTTACAAATGTTTTATTAAACATTGGACGTTCTGAATAGCACAAAAAAATTTTTACACCATGATAGTCAATTAAAAGTCACATGACACGTGATTACACTCTCCCCTTAAAAAAAAAAAATAAATAAAATAAAATAAAATAAAATAATAAAGTTAATTAATAAAGAATTTTAATAATTAGTTAGTATATTATTATTTTATAATTTATATATTAAAAAATACTGCAATCACGTGAGTGTTATGTTTAGATTAATCATATAAATAAGTCATTTGAATTGTGTAATCCTACTCCTATTCGTCACCAATGTCACATAAGACCAAAAAAGAAAATTTTATTTCTGGTGAAAACCTGAAATTTTGAGTTATATAGAATTCCATAAAAGGAAATTGTTAGTTATGCGAATTTCTAAAAAAAGGAAATTTTGTCTTCTGTTACTTTTCAAAGAAATTAAAAAATTGTGTTGCTCAAATTTCCAAAAAAGGAAATTCTTTGCAGATCTTTTAATTTTAGCCAGAATTACATATTAACCGTTGTCGTAAACAACAGGTAAACACTAGTAATCTAGTATTAAGGTTACTTGTCTAAACCTCTTCAAAATCCTACAATTAGTTTCGTCAAAATTTTACTATAGATTTATTATAGTTTCAGCAGAGTTTCAGCAGTTTTGGCATTTATAATAAGTTTCAGCAGTTTCACCTTTCTCCAAAGTTTTGCCAGTTTTTTAATATAACTTTAATATAGTTTCGGCAGAATTTCGCTTTTCGGCGAAACACCATCTTGCCTAAACCCCTAGGTTTCAGCAAGCAACCTTAACTAGTATTATATTAAAATTATTTATTTTTTAATTATAACTAAATTGGAATTTAAATTTTAAAATTTAATTTTAAATAATATCTATAATAAGTTATAGTATATATGAAATTGAAATTAAAATCTAAAGGGTTGATTTTTTTTATCCCAGTGGTATTAAAGTCATTAAAACCTCTCATGAAGTCTGATTATGGTGAGATTACAGGTTCAATTTTACTGATTAATGAAAATTAAAAAAATTTTATTGCAAACGTTACTACTAATAGCATGAAGATATGAGGATTAGCATAAGTTGAACTAAGATTCCATCTACTATTAAGATAAGTCATTTTGTAGCCTAAAGTAAAGTTTACATATAAAACTCTTTAAAGATCCTACTATAAAAGGTAATTTTATATTACATTATTATAATTTTTTTTTTTAATTAATTAATCAATAGAATTTAAGTAAATTCTAAGGTAAGATTATATAAAAGTAAAATTTTTATTGGTAACATATCTTAGTAGTAGGGGTTCTATTGGACTGCATTATGGTGAATTAACTTTATAAAAGAAAAAATCCAGAAAATGTACTGAAAAAACTGAAAACACTTTTGAGTTATTTCAAATTTTAATACATTTTCCATATCCCTTAAACCATAAACAATTGCAGGCAAATTTGCCCACAATTTTACCAAATTTCAGCTCTCATCTAATTTTATGAAAAATAAAGCAATTTTAATAAAATTTTTTTCTAAGATAGTTTAAATTATATATTGTATAACAATTATTATCATTTATTAATTATATATTAGAAAATCGAAAATTACCCATTGATCAAATGTTGTATTTTAAGATAATCACAAAATTTTAAAAAACTTTGCACTTAACTTTGATAATTTTATTGATAATTAATTGTAGCTATATAAAAGCTTAATAGAATATGTAGAATTTGGTATGAAAAACAACTTTTGTTAATATAATTTTTGATGTTTAAAAGTAGGATTTTAACTTTATATAGAACTTTAATGAAAATTTTATGATGTATTTTAATTATATACAGTCAACTCTCTTTATAGTCACACATTTGGGACAGTCCATATTTGATGATTATAAAGAGATGTTACTATATAAAAAATTTCTTATATTAGTATATTATAATTCTGGCCAAAAATTAACATAATTTTAGAT